TTCCATCTGAATTTGCAATATCACTTGACCAACCTCTGGAACAAAAGAAAAATGCATTCTTGCCATTTTCTGAAGCAGACTTACGTTTTGTTTTTGGTCTGTTCGGTTCAGCAGTAGTCTCATTAAGATTCCTGTTTGAAAGAAGATAAAATCCTGTTTGTTTGTTTTTTAACCAGCTGGACTCACTGGCACAACTGTTGGAGATATTGTGCAAGCACTCTCCTGAGGTGCACACTGCCAGACCATTTGCTTTGCTGCTTATCCACAGCATGTCCTCTCACAGGGCCATGAAATGTCTTTTCAGAAGTTAATGGTGCTTTGCACGCTTAGCTCCGCGGAAGACATCCCAGTATAACCAAATCCTGCAAGAGAATTCTCCCAAACACTTTCACAGGGTTTTTCATGGGCAAGAAATGAAATCACAAGAAATGTGCCCACAATGAAAATCCTTTTGAGAAATGCTTAAAGACAGTAGTGTGTGCCACCAATGTTAGCATGAGGAAACAATCCGAACAGAGGTTAATTTGTCCTGATGCAACTCTGTGAGGTATCGGGAGGTAATTACTGGCTTGTAAAATCAGAAGGAAGGTGTTCACTTTCACTTTGTTCCACCTCTGCTGAGACAAGGCAAGCACAAGGCTCACAACTCTGGCCACATGTCTTTTTTATTACAGCAGAGCTCTCAGTTGGATAATTTGACTGATCGATGACTTTATACAGTATAACCCTTGTTTTCAGGGTGCTACAGGCTGTGAGTGTTTGCAAAATTATTGGACTGTGGCCGTAAGGACTGCAGCTAACAGGCCTTTTAATTTTTTTTTTTACTGTTATGAATGATATTACAATTGAGCACCAAAATCCAGCATAAATACAGTAAACGTAAAAATGTAAAACATAAACCCTGTAGTTACATGAAAGCAAATATCCTTTGTGATGGCCCACAATAGACTCAGGTGACAAAGGAATTTGCCATCCTGAACTACTGGGATGTCCCAGGAAACTGTATCCATCATCTGAGTGAATTATACAAACACCCTCTAATACAATTCTTTACAAGCCTTTTAGTAGTTTAAAAATACAGAATCAAAAACGTATAGCTGCCAGTCCAGAAAACTGCAATACGGAAGGCAAACATACGACCTTTTGTAAATCTCGCGGTGCCATGTACCGCATTAAAAGGCATGCTTAGTGATCTAGGACATGTGTGCCTAATCCTGGTCAAACAGTGTGTCTAAAGGGCTTCAAGGTGTCTTTAAAGCAGCAGCTCCTTAAGAGCGGGGGGAAGCTGTTAAATTGGTCCAGTGAAGTCAAGCTCAAGTTGATTATGGTCATTAATAGCCGAGTTGGAATTAAACCCTGAAGAGACACCAGCCCTCAGGGATGAGACACCCCAGGCTTAGAAATAAAGGATGACAGGCCCCCTTGCTTTACCTCTGCACCATGATGGCTACAGTACGGGGGGTGGCCATTCCTTTTCCAGGAGCACCATGATCCAGCAGGTCTTCAGCTCTCCCTTAACTCATTCATTTCTAAGCTCTTGCAATAACATTGCTTTGACCGCAAAAGCAGGTGGGTTGCTCAGTTACTCAGTTTAGATGTTTGAAAAGTAAAATTAAATCACCAACACACTGTAGCAGTTAAACACCACAGCTAGGGCATGCCTAGGGTGGCCTTTTTACACCTGCTGGACTGTGGCTCGCCCGTATATACATCTACGTCTGATATAGGTCACAAAACATCAAAGAACAAATTCAAGGTATTGCTGTAATGTGATATCTATGACCAGTGAGAGCTCTGTAGCTTTTAACAAGCCCTACAAACTCCCTGATACTAAGGGGTAACCCAGAAGTGAAACAAACCATAGGAAGTCATGCAGCCTTAAAGGAGTGTATTGCAGAGTAGTGAGTATCTTCTTACTTACAGAAAACCTACAGGTGCAGCATTATATACAAAACAATAATTGGCAGTTCAAACAGCAAGATCAGGGTACTGATTTGGTTCATTTTGGTATAAATGTGTATAAAATATTTATATAAAGATCTTTAAAAAAATCTAAGTTCTTTGTCATGTGCTTTTGTAAGTTGTCACAAAAAAATTCAGTGTATCTTCAGTGTTAATTCATCTACTGCTAGTCATTATATATGTACTGTCTATAGTTTCATATATACTGTATAGACATGGGTATATATATATATTATCCCTACAGTGTCCGGTGTTTTGGTCCTCCAGTAAACTATGAACATACTGTAACATCTATAAAATGGCAATAATTGCAATGCAGAAATTTCCTTCTTATACATCCAGTGAAATAATGCAGACAAGTTAATTTTGAATAAAAACTGTTGTCTGATTTAAAATAGGATACTTGAGGCAGTTGTGCTATGCACCTGTCTGCCTGTTACAAATCAAAGTTTAGGAAACAGTGCAAGGGTTTGATATCATATTACAACATAAATACAATATCTTAAAACTGTATGATATACAGTACAGGTCCCCGGATTCTGTATTCATTAGCTGCAGGGCTTAGTGGGATTCACCCAATGGTTTCACTTTACCATTAGGTACAATATTTACCCATCTATACTCTTTTCCAGGATTTTCCACTTTTCAGTGTGTCCCACATTCCATATTCTATTAAAGTTTTCATTGGCCTTCATTTGAAGCCAGTCCCAAGAGGAATGGGAATTACTGTACAATGTTTTGGTCACTTTAAGAGAGGACAGGTTTTCAAAACTTGTTAAAATAACATCATAGCTTGATTTTTAATGAATAGCATTTCGACACAATATATTCAGGGATGTCAGCAAGCCCAGTATTTCAGGAATGCTATATAACAGCCTTTTTGATTTTTTAAAAATGAATTCTTTACAGACAGACCTGAGTCTGTCTGCCGACAACAGACATTGCAGGAGTCAGCCTGATCACCTTAACTGGTTTGGGCAGGGAGTCTGTAAATACTTTAAAGAGAACTCACAGAATCCTAGTCCGTGATTTCTTAAGGAAGAGTTCTTGAATTAAAACACTGGGAATCAGAATAAAATACAGCAATCAAAAAATATATTCTGAAAGCGCTGCAAGGTTGCCATCGGGTTATTCACAGCCTCAGTTCAGCAAAGGTTGCAATTACAATTCAAATTTAATTTTCTCTGTGATCTGAGGGACTTTTTAAGGAATTGTTCTGTCTTGGACTGATCCAAGACGAGTGGGACTGGAGAGTCAATATGGTTCACCACATCCTGTGCCAGTTTCTCATTTTCCCCAGTGGTAGGTGTTGTCTCAAGTCAATATTTTCTTAGACATGGACAAAATGTTTTTGTCACTCAAGATTTGTATTGCGTGCAGCACTGTGGCAAAACGGTTAGCACTGCTGCCATGCAGCATTGAGGTCTTGGGCCTATTCCGTACTATCTGTGTGGAGTTTGTTTGTACTTTTTTTTTGTTTGTGACTTCTACCCACAGTCCAAAGATATACCGGTAGGTTAATTGGCCCTGGTGTGAGTGTGTATCTGTACCTGTGTGTGCCCTGCAATGGACTGGTGTCCCATCCAGGACCTGCCTTGTACCTATTGCTCGCTGGGATAGGCTCTGGCTCCTCTGCATCCCTGAATTGGGAAAGTGGTTAGAAATGGGTGGATTTTAATTGTGATCTTTTTCCTTCTGGATTTTTAAAAGTCCTTTCATTGGCTCTGTTTTCTGCAGCTGGAGCTGTGAATGCCTTCTGATTGGAGGACTCAAAGTGCTGTACTTGTAACTGGTGAAGCTGGGACAGACTTGTGACTGTCTGTGGCCCAAAAAGAACTTTTGCTTTATGCAAACTGGAATCCAGGCTGACAGCATAAAATTGACACATCTAAAGACTGGGTTTACCCTGATTGCAATCGGAAATAGAGTATTAAGTAATGTGAGTGTGCATGTTGTGTGTCTGTATCTGCTTTCTGAGATAGGCTCCAGTTCCCCGGCAGCCCTGAATTGGGAGAAGTGGATATAAAATGTATGGATGATTGACAACAGATCAACAAAGAGTTTGTGGAATGCAGAAAGAATTCTGTCACAACACTGCTTTACTGAATCCAAGGGATGGAATCAGTTAAAGGAGATCTAATTAGGGAAACCATTCAAAGCAGCCTAAGTAATTTAGATTTCACTTGCAAATCAGAGTCCCAAAGAAAGGTTTGTCAAAGGACAAATTAGGTGATGCACTGCTCAAGGACCACTAGGGGGCATTGTGACTCCACTCACTTTTGTTCCTGAGCCATTCTCAAGACTTTCCTACCAAAAGGCTACTGTGTTGCAGGGGGTGAAATACGTCTATGGGAAATATTAAACCCTGAAAACAAATCCATTGAGAAAGAACAGAGATAACCCAGTTTTGTCTATGGTCAGTGCTTACTGTGCTGATTCCTCTACAGTGATGGCAGCAGTACTTCGGAGAATGACCAACCTCTCGATCAGCTCAGTCACCACTATGGAGTGCTGTATGGAATTCTTGGATGCATTAATGAAAGATTACTGGCTCATCTCTATAAGCAACCTGACCGACTGGGGAGCAATGAAGAAACAGACATAACGCATTGAGTTAAAGAGGAAAGCCTGGCATAGCATTTAAGGCAAGGCCAGATTTTAGAAAGAGAGTCTTCTTTCTTAAAAAGAGGTGCAACAGGGGTGAACTCAGAGATGGGCTTGGGTCAGTGGTAGTGACTTAAGACCACCCAATCAGAGCCTGTAGAGCACTTCCCCTTTCTTAAGAAAGAGTATTAAACAACTGAACTGAATAAGTACTATCTTAAGCTTCAAGTGCAATGGAGCAGGTTCTTTCATCTAATTGAGAGGTTTTGATGCGGGGGTATCATCAGATTTAATTAGTTAATTGTAACCAAACAAATTGTCTCTTCCCATTTCCAATTGTCTTAAAGTTTCATTACATTAATTGGATCAATGTATCCTTTTTCTGTGGTCTCACACTTTTACCACATTAAAGAAAACCTACAGACTCCAAGGAATGGAGTTTGGAAAACATAATACTATTTATAAGCTTATATGCGCTTCAAAGCAAAATTTCTTTAAAACATGAGGAGGCCATACATTTGTGGCATAAGTGACTCTGTGTTGCTGGACTCACTTCAACTGGACATAGCTGAATCAGTGAAGGTTTTTAGAATTCAATGTCAATTTTCTCATTCTGACAATAATAAACATAATGATAAATACAGAAGTACACGTAGAAAGGTTACAACTTCATCTATGAGGAATAAAATTCAACATATCAACTGTAATAAATTAACTAAAACAGTGTTTCTTCAAACTTAGTCTGTCAGTACAGAGTGTGGAATGCTGACGGAGGAAGGGGTGCACCATGGGAAGGTGGGTGTGGCCATGGTTAGCTGGTGGTTGACATCACCAGATCGGGCTCCTTAGCCGCTTCGGGGGAGGAGGTGAGGCCGCAGCTGCCGGAGAGCTCTGGAAACTGGCTGGCTCTGCCCGGCGGTACTGGGGAGGCTGGAGATTGGGCCAGACCTGGTTTCTTGGGAGGGATGGGGGGTGGGTGGCCCCTCTCGGCCCGGGGGATAGTGGGAGACTTGATCCCAGGCGACAGCGGGCTGGAGACCTTGCCGGCAGTTGGGGAATGATCACCCCGGGAATGGGGTGGTGGGGCCAGGGTGCGATAGTCCGTGCCGAAGGGGGAGCTGTTGCTAGGGGAGCCCGGTTTGCTCTGCTGGTTGGTGAAGCGGGAGAGCACCTGCGTGACAGTGTTGCGTGCCAGCTGCTTGGCGGAGCTATGCTCGGCAGCGGTGGGCGACAGGTCGCGGGGGGAACGAGGAGACACCCCGCCGACCTGCTGCTCCTGCTCCGCCTGGGCTTGGAACTTGTGGCGGGCAGCCTGGAAGCGCTGGTTGATGCCAGCCTGGTAGGAGGACTGGTAGCCAGGGCTGGTGGCAGAAAGCCCCATTAGGCGCTTAGCCAAAACCGGAGAGGAGCAAGGGGAGGAGGTGAGGGAAGAGGAGGCTGTGCTGGTGGGGGACAGGCTCTGGTGGAGATGGACAGGGGAGTGCAGGCCGCCATTCTCCACCCCGTTTTCCTGGCTGGTCTTCTCCCCTGGTGAAGGATCGCCATCTTTGAGGTAATGCCCATTCATTTTAGGATGGGTGGATGATTTGGCTGCCGGCTTTGCTGAGGCTTCATTCTGGCAGGCTACGGAGGCCATGGTGGGCACCAGGGGGAGGCCCTCTCTGCCCCTCAACTCTGCTAGCTCCTTCCTTAGTCTCTCTACCTCCTCCTGTAGCTCCTTGCTCCTACCTTCCTCCTTCTTCAGCCGGGCCCTCAGCTGCTCCCTCTCGGTGTCAAACTCGTCCAGCTGCTTCTCCGCCCGTGCCTCCATCTGCAGGGCCCGCTTCCTCTCGGCCTCCAGCTCGGCCTGCAGCCCCCGGGTCACCCCCCGCTCTTCCTCCAGCCGCTGGCCGAGCTCGGCCACCCGCTGGCTCTCCTCGGCCGCGCGTGCCGTGGCTCTCTTGCATTCTTTGGCCAGTGCGGAGGACAGCTGCTTGTGCTGCGCCCGGTCCTCCTCCGCCTGCCCCGACAGCTTCTTCTGCTCCTTCTCCAGCCTCTTCACCTGCGCCTTCTCAAAGTCCAGCTGCAAGACACAAACGTGGACACGCGGACAAGGGCAAGGTCACATTTCGGGCTTCATGCTTTTACTGGCTACCATGTTGCCTGTTGGTAGCCAGTAAAAGCATGCTTGAGTAGCCTGTTGCAGGAGTACTGCACATGCAGCTCCTGTGGTGAAAACAACTCTCCCTAAAACATCAGCCTAAACATTTTTATTTTAAATCCAGGTTGCAAATGAAATCCAATTACAAATTAACAAATGAACACTCTATGGAGTCATTACACAGATTGACAAGAGACCTGAAACCCTGCAAAGTTACCAGCTTGCTACTGTGCTTTGCTCTGAGTTGCATACAGGCTTCTTCTATGCCTTTTTGTTTATAAGACATGCAGAAAATGCTCACAATGCTTTTTTTACATGGCATACAGGAAATGCTCATCAGGGTAAATACTACGTTTTGGGGAAATCCACAGATATTCTCTCTAAAACCCTAACAATTTCTGAAATCACCAATTATTATTTTGCTCAACTCACTGCTCCAGCCCTTATATAAATTAGGATAACATCACTTTATTAGCCATATACAATATCATGTATTAGGAATTTGTCTTTTCACATACCCCAGCTTGCTCTCCATGAGACACACAGACAGGAAGAGAAGCTCGGGGTCAGAGCGCAGGGTCAGTTATTTATACGGCACCCATGGAGCAGCTGGGGTTAAGGGCCTTGATCAGGGGCCCAACGGAGTAGGATTGCTGGCCACAGGATTTGAATAAATGCATACTCTTTTTCAAGGTGGCAGCCCATAACCCAGACACCAAACCTATGGCCAAAATGTAGACATACTGGGTTTTAGACATCACTGCAAACCTAGTCCCAGGGAAATAAGACGATAAAACCATTTTTAAACCTTCAACTTCACTGGCACTCAATTTCATGCACCTCCACTGTGGGTAATCCTTGTCACATCCTTCTACCACCAAACATGCTCTTTTTCACTGTTGACGTTTTTTCTGTACACAATATTCCATAATAAAACACTCGACACATGCCACAAATTGTTTAATCTAATTCGGATGCCTGATTTTTTCTTTCCTGGCCGTTTTTGGGGCTGAAGAGACTAGTGTCGTAAAGGTATCTTTAGGATTTGCACAGTCAAGCTGTGGTGAAGTGAAACAAGGGTTGAATCATTTCTAAACGGAAGCATCCTGGGATGCAATATTACATCACACAGCTTTTGTTCTTAATTGAGTCCCTCCAGATGTCAACAGTGCACCCTATCATTTGCGAATGATTAAAAAAAATATATTTTCAGTCCATGATGAAAATGGCACAAATGACCAAGTATCCAGTGGGCACAATGTCAAGTTGAGGCTTTGGCAGAAAACAATACCATCATACCACTGACAAAAAATGACTTATTTTGTGGTTGTTGTTTGTTTTCCTATGTTTTAGGAAAGAGGCTGTTTTGTGAAGGATAAATACCTATTTACAGTATTTTAAAAAAAAAATTTAGATAACACACCTTACAGCCGCACACAACACAAAATTACTATAGGAGCTGTTCATTTGATTTGCAATTAAAAGACATATTTTTGCAATAGGGATGCACCTTTCCCTAATGACACAGGCAGGCAACAGAACTCAAAAGCAAAATATTTCAGTTTCGAGTTTTCTTTTGTACAAAGAGGAAAGATAAATCCATACACAACAAACTAATTTCAGAACAATTCCTCCTCAGCTCCTTGTGTTTTAAACTAAACAATCACCCTCCTTCCACTAGGATTAAGATTTTACTCTTATCGGGATTGGGTATCCCACAAAGGATGTGATCAGTTTGCTTGAACTCATGACATTGACCAAGCTGGCAGTGTGATACTGTCACTCAAACTAATCTTGATAAAAAACCATATTCTATATACGCAGTCGCTGAAAGTCTTTGCCTGCCCAACAGGCAGAGGCTTCACAGAGAAGTGTGGCTCAAGGGATGAATTTTGTTCAGGTAATCCTTAACAATTATGTCATCACTATTTCCCATTATAAGTATAAGACCAGCAGCACAGATAGCAGTCTAAGGTGTCGGACATAGGCATGATGTAGCCCCCACTAAGAGTACTGGAAGCTCTCAGGTTTCCATCAAGCCACAGGAATCAAGCTGTGAAGATCCTGAGTGATCCAGTCCAATATTGCTGTGTTTTCAGTCATGACAGAATGGGGTGTCTTCTTTGAGACAGATAGGTGCAGTACCCAAGTACCTGTTGTAGGAGGCGTTCTCTCTCCTTCTCCAGCATATAGGTGACATCATCGCCCTCGGCTGTGTCCTGGGCATGCCGGCGTTTCTCTTCCTCCAGGTCTGCAATGACCTGCCGCACACAGAAGAGGGCAGGAGTGAGTTTCAAATGGACAAGGAAAACTATCAGTCAAAGGTCAATCAATAAATCAAATAGTATTACAGTATAGTGCATTTCAAAGAAAAGATTCACAAAGCTGTATATTAAATCTATTCAATTACAGAGGACAATATAACAGACATGCATACGAAATGGTTGATAAAAGTTCAAAAACAACTCATAATTGGTTATAAACCTCATAACAGTTACACAGCTCAGGGTAGAAATTTAACAATGATTGTACTGTACAAGCTCAGGTCCCACCTCAGGCCACCAGCTAATCACTAGCTCAAGAGCTGGGACTATACAAAGCTTTAATGTGGCACAGACATTGAACCACAGTGACAGGTTAGGAACTGTGTTGAATGTTGTTTTAGAAAAGTCACATGACACAGCTTTTCCCTTTTATACTAGTTCCTTTATATCACTGTCACGGGCAAATTCAAGTCCTGCTCAAAGCTGGGTGTTCAGAAAGAGAGGTCTCTGGCTATTATTGCATTAAATACAAATTATAACTATACCATAACTGTATAATATCGGTCATGAGTCCAGTTATATTGCTGCCCTGGTGGTGACATCATAATGATAACATTACCACTATCTTAAGTACGGTTTTATCGTTGCTCTGGTGGTGACATCATAATGACAGCCCTGCCACTATCATGAGTCCAGTTTCTTTATTGCTCTGGTGGTGACATCATAATGGCCCCATAATCCCTGCGCTATCATGCGCAAGCTTGATGTAGTGGCAACATAGCTATGACAGTCTGCCATGTGCATCAGGTAGGTTCTAGTGCAGTTGTTGCTGCAGAGGCACTGCAGTTGACATGAGTCTCCATTAGGGAAAATGGCATAATCCAGTCATATAATAAATGCCTTTAAAATGGCAGATGCTGTGTGCTTCCTAGAAACTGTCCTGACAGCGCTATTCAGCCTCTACCTCCAGGCCTTTGCCTCCAAACTGAAAAGCTGCCCTCTTTTGCTCATTCCTCTGGACCAGTCTGTCTGCGTCTGGGAGATGACAACAGAGCTATTGTCTGTGGCAGAAACTGAGGAACAAAACAGCAGGAGTGAACAAAGGGGTCAGTTTTTACTCCAATCTCAGGGGTAAAGAGAACTATTGTGTGACTCCTGTTCAGTCAGTGTCTGGATAGGGGCTGGGCAAAAATGTCTCATTTATTCATGTGAAATTGGGTCTCTTGTACTGGATGGTGCTGAATCCTACACTTTTTAACATTCAGAAATTAATAAAACGTTCGGCACACAATGTGAAGCAGACAGTTAAGTGCTACATGGTATATCCATTAGCAGAAAGATGCTTATTTCTGATGAAGGTGACAACCCAGAGCCTATCCAGGAAGCACAGGACACGAGGTGAGACGACACTCTTCATGGGACGCCAGTCTACTTCACTTCAGACACACCTAACTTAGGGACCAACGACTAGCAAACATGTCTTTTGGGAGATGGAAACCAAAATGGAGCACCTGGAGAAAACCCACAAGAACACATGAAAACGTTTAAACTCACTGAAGGCAACCTAGTCCGCAATCAAGCCCAGAACCTAAGATTCATAAGACCACGACTTTCTGAGGATGGATGGATATACTGTACAGTACTGCTTAAATTGTACTGCAATTGAAATACACAACGCAGAATATGCATGTTTAAAAGGTATGTTTCAGCCAAGTTTCATAAGAAACATTGTTACAGTTTGTTAAATTTCTGCTTCATGTTATTTTTTAATACATTCATATATATTAGCTGAAGCCTTGTATTTTATAGCCATAGAAATGAAACCTATGTATTTCTCAGAAAATGTTCAGGCTTGAGTGGTGAATACAGACACAGCGCAGCTCAAGTGAACTGGTTAATTTGTCCCAATGCCTGATACTGGAGTTTTGTCTCTACAGGCCACCGGAAACGTGAGAAGTATGGTACTATCATTACTGTTTGTTCTAAGAGGATGTGCATTAGCTGAAAACAAGGCGATTCTTTTATACACAGGTTAGTGTGGGTCTGGAAATAAAACCTTAATTGTCTTCTAAAAGTATTATCTATAGACCAAATTAAAAAAAAACTATCTTAAATCACAATGGACAGATTGCATGTAGATTGCAGAGGCCAAGTGTGGTTTCTGATGACTCATCAAAATCCTGCACAAAGGAAAAGTAATGCTTTGCACAAATCAGGTTTAACATCCATCCCTTTTGTAACCACATCTTCCAATTCAAGGCTGGGGGGTGGGACTGGAGCCTGTCCCAGCATGCAACAGGGTATAAGGCCTCCCAAGATGGGATGCTAGTCCATCACAGGGCAAACACACTCACAAACACAAATAGACACACACCACACACTTCTGGGCAGTTTTCCCAGAAGGCAATTAAGCTACCAGTATGTCTTTTGACTGTGTCCTGGAGGAAACAGGCAGCAGTTGTAACCACTGTGACACAATGCTGCCCATCAGGCTTAACACTGATGTGAAAACCTACAGCCACAATCAATGAATTGTCCACAATGGCTGACCATCATCATCATCATTATCATCATCACAATCCACCACAGAGAGTGTTCCTCCCCACGTACCTTCCTGTGCCTGCTCTCTGCTGCGGCAAGCTGAGCCAGCATCCTCTCCTGCATCCTCTTGCAGTGGGACATGACCAGTTTGAGGATGGTGAGCGGACTGGAGCACAGTGGACCCCTCTCCGGCTGCGCAAGGCCCCGCCCCACCTCGTTGTCCCGCTGCAGGGCCAGGAATGGGTCGCTGAGATTGTACTTCCCATAGCGCTCCTGCACAAACGCATCTCTGTGCTGGGCCTGGAACAGGGATAAGAAAAAAACAGCTATTGACACCTTTATGAGCAACAGGAGCATATTCAAGTGGATTGTCTCTCCTGAGTTATAGATCAGATTTTAAAATTCAAGGTTCAAATATAAGGAATTATCCAGTGTCCTCTAACACATTTTTAACACATGGGATGTATAGCTGAATGTGAAGATATTGGGAACATCTGGTCCTCGAAGTACTCCAGTGTTTGTGTCTGCTCTGCTCTGTGCTTGGTATTACATTCCACAGAAATGATCTCCGTATCAGGGCTCCCTGTTTGTAACACGATTTTAAAACTTAGTTTGCTCCACGATTTAAAATACATTAACTTTAAAAAAGTTATGTTTGTTAAATTCTGTTGAGCAAAATTCTTATGGTTGTTACATTTAACACTTTTTTTGCATCTTAAAAAAATAAAGTTTAAACAAAAAAAAAAAGAAATGTTCTCGGAGATTTCCAAGGCCAAATACATGTTCTAATATTTTGCTCATGGTAAGATGACGTGTTACGGTTCTGTGCGGTAAAATCAATCCTGCTTAAAGAATTCAGTGTAAATATTAACCTAGTATAAATCAATATCATCTGACATCATGTGCAAGACCACACTAACTGTTACAGTCTATGGGAATGTTATCTGCTTGCCTGCTTTGGGATCAGGAATTACTAAACAGGAAACTGCGAGTGGAAGTCTGACAGCAAGTGCCTCTGTGCCTTTTCTGAAGCCTCCCGGACAGAGCCAAGAGAAACACAGCCTCCGAGACGCGCCAAGGAAAGGAGACTTAACCCTTCTGGAGGGGCAAAGAATTTCACTGCTGGAAAGGGAAGCTCAGCAGATGGCATCTGCTGACAGGCTCTTCACAGAAGCCAGCCCAGCTGTTTCATTCAAGGGGAGGCTGAGAGTCACGCAGCTCAGGCTCCATGAGTTTCTGAAGCTTCACTGCAGGGACCAAGCTAATGATCGTCCAGAGCAACTGAACAGGCTGTCCCTGGAGAGCAAGTGGCAGCAGGGAGAGAGCGTAGGGTAACGGTGTTTTAGTTTCTCCAAATCCAATACCAGCATTAACCCCCAATATAAAAACCCTCTGCTTCTAAAACTCCCAGTCAACAAACCCTTTCAGTGAACAAGTGGGTTTGCATATTGGATAGCCCAGGCAACTTTAAAAAAAAAAGGGTTTCCTAAAAAACTCTGGATAAGCCCTGGCTTTGCTGTTAATTTTATGTAGCAATTTTTAGTGCTTTATTGTCTGATGAGATGCAAAATTGAGGTCTTACTGTGACTCTGCAGCTGCCACGATTATATCATTGTCTGCTCCTAGTCCCAGGTGGATGAAGAGGTAGATAATGGCTCCCTGTTAAGTGGCATTCTTTTAGATATATTGTGCATTGATGACTCAGTGGACAATTGTAATGAAGAAGCTTTTGCTATTTAATTATATAGAGATACAAAAGTTAATCAGTACTGACCCAACTTCAGATGTTCACCACCAGTGTAGAATGTTTCAGGACAGTCGGGCTATTTCACTTCCTCTCTTGAGTGTGCTATGCTGATAATATATATTTATAGCATTAAGGAACATCTTCCTTCTAGATTGAAGCAACCCTGATAACCATATAATCCTTGGGGGGGGGGGGGTATTCATACTTGAAACCACCATGGTAATGCTTGAGATTACACTTGCCTAGAAAGAACTTAATTTGCACCAGGAAAGGTAGCCACTGTCTGCCTATCTTGAGATGATTCTGAGTTATATCATGCACCAGATAGCTGCAGTAATAACTGTTGCTGTTTTCCTTGTTATATAAACCTGAGAGAAAAAAAAGAAGAAAAAGCCCTCAAAAGGCTATTAGGCTGTTTTGGATTCATCAAGCTTTTTCTTTGAACAAGGTCACTGTTGGGTGATATCCTAGGAACAGCCAGCTCTGAGTGCCTGTTCTGGCATATCTTATTTTTACTCCAGCTTCTCAATAGGCTTTACTGAAGCATTAAATAAAATATTACAGGCCTCATTCATAAAGAAAGGGCCTAATGCACCTTTTTGAAAAAAGACAAACTCTCAATGTTACACAATCCGCAGAAAAAGCCAGAACCGCCTACAGGGGCTCTTAAATCAGCATCCTGAGAGATTTACACGGCACTTTATGACTTTACTGCACTGCTTTTGTGCTACGAAAGAAACGTCAACTTAGCAGGGTGGGCAAAGTTTTTGAAAAGGGCCCCATGTCTGCAGAGACTTGACATACAGGAAAAGAACATGGCACCACAGATGCAGGGTCCCCCTGCGGTCTCTTCCCGGCTTTGCTGACCGTGGTCCTGTCCATGACCTGTGTGTGGCAGGTCTGAGCTCATTCAGAACATTCTTCTACAGGCACTTCACCACTGCCCTGTCAGCCTCAGGGCCCGGGAGGCAACAATTAGCTCTTTGATCCTTCCTGCCTTACAGTGCAAACAAAGAATGTCAGCCTCCACTGCTTTCTGTAGATTACAGTGTCAGTACAAAGAGCCCGTGTCCATCCTCTTGGTTGCGTTTTCAGAAGGGGACAGGGGAGATAAAAAGAATGTCTAACAGTTGGTTACTGTGCTATGCTTTGATTCTTTATGATATATATATATAGCCCCACCTTGTTTCTGTAACTTAGCACAAAATGGAACCGACAAAACACTTTCTTATCTGGCTCAGGGACCCTAACCTGGGCCAAAATTGGGAATGGAAATACGAGGACACTTTTCTTCTGTTCTCCAGTAAACTTGATTTTGAGATTTTGAACGTGATTTAATATTGCATGGCCGTGAATGTCAGTGAGTATGCATCGACAGTAAAAAAAAATAAGAAATTGTCCACATTTTCTGACCTAAACTGCATCTTCACTGTATAGCCACATAGGCAAGACAGAATTTTTTTAACGGAGTGCATTCATAATTTTGAACATGTGCTGTATCCGATTGTCTTTCTTCCCAGTGAGAGAAAAGACCTGAGAACTCTTAGAAAGACACGAGTGGAGGTATGTAACTATTTTAGCTTTTGTAACTGCTTGCTTGACGTTTTGAGGAAAGTACTGAGTTTTTACCTATTGTACATAAACCACACCTCAGTCTTTCAAGTGAGCACATAAGAATGTTTACAAACAAAAAGAGGTTATCGGGTCTTTCTAAGTCATTTGTCTTTTAATAGCAAATTGATTGGAGGTTTCATTCAGACATTCCTTTAAAAGAAACTGGGGTATCAGCTTCAACAAGTTGCCCAGCCATGTTGCTCCAGCCAAGAGGCTTGGTACCAGGAGGTTCCTGGATTGACCCCCACTCATACTGCTCACTTGCTGTGTCACCCCGATCAGCTACTTTGGGGCTCCATTCTGCAGATGAGGCCTCTTTTAGTGACTGATGCTAGCTGTCCTCCCATTGTCCATGTCACATTTTGGATAAAAGTGTTTCGGAAACAATGACAGTAATTATTGCATGGAACAAGCTCCCCAAGCAATGTAATTTAACATGAGACCCTGGCATATTTCAAGACCCAGCTCTATGAGCTCCTCTGACAAATTAGCTACCAAATGGGTCAGGTGGCCCAACAGATCTCCTGCATGTGTTTTCAGGATGGTCTGGCTACAGAAGGAAACAAAATCCACCAGCCTAAATTTTCCCCAACTCCACCCAACCTTAGCTCAGGTAGATAGAGGCTGTTTCTTCATCACACCATACTTCATAAGTTGTCAGGATCCTTTTGTTTTTCAGCTACAGTGCTGTTGCAAAGCACTACAGGCTCTACAAGAACTACCTAATCAAAATGCACATGTGCTCTATTAGGTAATACACATTTAGACCTTTTTACAAACAACACTCTGTGGAATATTAGCAATATTCCCGAACTGTCAATTCTACAGCAGTCAATACAACTTTGTGAAAGTGTGCTTAATAAGAAATTACTCTGCACTTAAAAAGTCAGATATTTCCCAATGTGAACCAGAAGGAAACACGGAGTGAGTGCCTTGGACCATCCAATAAATCCAATTTCTGGGATTTTAGGGAGTAGACAGGGGCAAAATCTTTAAATGTTGTTCATGTATTTTTGACCACTGTCATTCCTGCTTTCAGTCCTTGAACCCCACCAATTCCAAATTCCTTAATTACGACCAAACACCTCCCTTTGTAATTGAAGTATGCTTGACGGTATCCTCAGCTGAACACAGAAATCCAGATTATACAAAATCCAAGATGACTTGATCATCACTGGAGCCCTGCTGTAAAACCTTCAGAGTCAGAAAGCAGTTGTGCTTGAGTAACGAGATTATTCAGTCCTTGTGGTCGGTGATATGAACGGTTGTTTCTTCTTCTCTTATCCTTGTTTGGAATCCCCAAACCAGATCACTGCAGTTCTCAGTGTTATTATTTTGTTTTGGGATTCCTTTGAGGAATGCAACAAGATTTTTGTTTTTTTCTTTTCATATCAGGCCGTTCGCGTATTTCAGCACTTATTCACTGTGGACTGACATCTTTAATGGGTTTCTCAGGGACCTCCATGGAAAACAAATCCCAGGCTGACTCTGCCAGACCCTGCTGCGTGGGATTCTCCAGTCCAGAAGGGAATGCATCCATAACAACACTTGATGACAAAATAAACCAGATATGAATACTTACAGCACAACCTGGGACAAAATGTGTAGTTCCTAATGTTGCATTAAAAACACAATAAATCTATTTTCATCATCTGCAAAGCAGTACTGTATAAGCATCTCTTGTCCTAGACTGGCAAATTTCTGACCTCTGACCTACATGCCAAAATAGTGATTTGCTGTTGTTGTTTTTTTTTTCAGAAAACCCCTTTATCCCAAACACCAGATACAAATTATGGGAAGTGAGATGTTCTGTAATGGGAGCTATCAATATCAGGACCTCCTGTCTACAGGGAGGAGCCCCAGAATAACTGGTCCGTGACTGAGTAGCAGAGGTGGGTTTTACCACAGCTCTTGCCTTAACCACTGGATCACAGTGTCCTGCTGGTTTAAATTGAGGCCTTTTCAGAACTGAAGCAGCAACCTCCTACTTCAACTGCTACATAATGGCAGTCCCTTCCAACTGTAATGTTATTCTTGCTGTTGTTGGGGGGTGGGAAGTGCCTTTCAAACTATGCCTCCTTCTGTAAAGAAGAGAAACAAGGGGATTGAGTAAGAGTTTTCTGTTTGTAAATCACATATTTATCCTTGGGATCCAAAAGGCAGACTATAAAAATGCTCTGGGATTCCAGCATGGACCGAAGTGATTGTTTTCAAGTTAATGAAGAAACTCAATGAGTCTTGTGTCTTTATTAAAATTGGCAAACGGGACCCATCTCAAATTATCTATTAGGTATGCGGGCTGCCAGGACACAGGGAGATAAACTAGGCTTATTATGCTGAAAAAATGAAGCACTGGTTGGAATTGGGAGTGGGGTACTAAACTATAAATGTTTCTGCTGACCTCTGGCTTTTTCAGTAACAGCTCAAAGATGTCTGAATTCTGTGTCAGTATGTTACCCTCAGATGGTTACTATAACAGACAGTGCTCATTGTAAATATAGCATAATATAAATCTTCTAGGTTTCTTAATTTGGAAGTATTTGAGATTAAGGATGATGTTCTTAAGACTGCATAAACATGTCTTTTGTAGAAAAGGTAAGATATCTGTTGCACCCTGTTTAAAGTTTGACCTGCAGTTTGCTACCTATTTCCAATCTAGGTATTCTTAATTACACAGTTTCACCAACACTCCAATTAACGTTTACTGTCACGCACCAGGTATGCAGATCTGCTCTCCTCCTTTGGCTGAGTTTATACGAACTCTTCACAAGGCTAATCTGTGAATGTCCGTGTTAATTTTTCAAATTGGCGATTCAGTATGAGATGCTATAAGCATTTGGTATCATTTAATCATCTAATAGCATTCAATACACTGGCCTTTACTTCCAGTACTAGTCCTGGCGATTTCGTTTAGATTCGAGACCTTCCTTTCGTCATAATCTGGGTCGTTTCCTTCGATCAGATTAGTGCAGCCGTCTGTAAATTCCATTCATTAAGACGTCTGGCGCCCGTCTTTGGCAGCTCTGTTCCGTTTTTGACAGAAGAGGAGTTTGGCTTTAAATCACTATACAGCTTTACCTAATTTGACAAGAGGTATGTCTCTGAAATGACCAAACTGTAACAAGATGATCATCCTTTTTTAAAAAAGCTTTATTGAAAGATTTGAAAAAAGTGGCTGATCTGTTTGCCTGCTATCTAATTCAGTACAGGTTTTATATTTCATAAGGAAGAGCTGTGAGATTAAAAGAACAGCACTGATATAGAGATCAGTAGGCAACAAGTAAAAATGGAGCAGTATCTCATAGGCCTGAACTTGCACCTCTTACAGGGGTACAGATGCTCCTGCAGGAAGCCCACATCTATACCATGGGCCAAATTTGGTTCAAGTTATTCTGGACAAGACACCCATTCCATCTTTTTCAAACTGATACAAAGTGCAGCAGGAAATGCCACACTACAATGTATGTATCCTCCAAAAAAAGCAACAAAAAAAAATCTCAGAGCTTACTATGAAGTAAAAAATTAAAAACAAATGCAATTGATGCCTGGGAATGAATTAACACTCTCTCCTCACAAATTCCATATGCTGTATGTGAATACAGATTTCTGAGCACGGGCTTCCTGCCATCAAGTGTTGTGTTTGTAGCTTGCAAATGAGAGCCTGACAGGTTTGTTTTAATTTAAACCAAAGTGTAGCTATTGGTAAACCAGGTTTTAAAACATGGGCTGGATACTTTCAACTGCAAAAGCCATAAATTAGATCTTTTTAAACATTATTCATGTTTGAGAAATTGCTACAGCTTTTTTAAAATTGCTGTTACTTCTTAACTGCTTCACTGGGTAAGGCTTAATAAGTCAGGTATGAGCCAGGAAAATGTTTTGATCTTTCCTGCCTTTGTGAAATCAGGCCTGGGGATTTGGCTATAAACTTGAAACAATTCCATTTAGGTTATTCTTATTAACAAATAACTAAGCAGTCTGGGTTTTCAGCTGTAAAATGGAGGTTTTCTAGACCGCTACACATTTCGAATCTGAAAGCTGGTAGTTTTTCTGCTTCTGTTCTTCATTCCTCGATGTTTCCTTTTACTCTGTTCAGCTTTTGTTATTAATAATTTCCTTTCTCAAATGTATATTAAAACTGTGCTGAGTGTTACAAAAACCTAATACTGTAATATATAATTTTTTACCACATCTTAAAGGCCCTCATTTCCACATTTGCTTTTATTTAATTTGCATATAGCTTTTCAGCGCTCCCAGGCTGAAGTGTAATAACAATAATAAAACAGACCATAAAAAATAACAAAATTCATCTCTTGGTAAAATAATTATTCACCTGTTGTTTTGTGAAAAAAAAAGATGCAAGTGATAAAAGAGGAGCTGGCCATTCTGCTTTTGCTGCTAATGCTTTTGCATTTCATACTGAGATATTCCTTTACACAAAGGGTTGTAGGAGTCTGGAACAAGCTGTCAGGAGATGTTGTTGATGCTGATGCTGTGGTTTCTTGTGGAAAAGGCTGGATGAGATCCTCAGATCAATTAGATGGGATAAGGGTATCCTCTCATCATGCCCTCTCCTTCATTTGTTATTTTTGATTTGCCATGCCAACAACAACAAAAACACAGAATGAGAGGAAGCAAATGGGAAGAAAATGGTTGCTGCTCATTGCTCTGAAGCACCAAAAGGCTCAGCCTGTGCAACCTTGACAACGACTCCACCTGCTTCCCCCACTTTCAGCTTCAAGGAGTCTTGTAGTCTCAAAGTACGCTTAAGTGTATTATTGGGAGCAGCTATAAACCAAATGAAACCTCCTTCCTTATCTGGTTGTTACTGTAACCCAGCACATCAGAGTTTAGCGGTGCCTTGTTTCCTCCTGTTATTTCCTCTCATTCAGCTTTCACAAAACTTAGCCCCAGTAAACAGCGTTGAAAAGGCACAAAAGGATGTGAGCTGAGACAATGACCCATTTTATTACACTGATGTGACTGAAGGGGATGGGGACACCAGCCCTCAAACATCATGTTTTGCAAAAGTTGGCAAAAACAAGAACTTCCAACAGAGTGTAAATTACATAAAATATTTTTGGAAATATTTATCTTACAGATTATAAGAACTCACCCATAAATGAATATAAGAAAAGTAAATAACTTAATCTGTTCCACTACGGACCTAAAGACTTGCAGTTATAGAGATAAAATCTTAAAGATGATTAGAAGTTAGGTCACTAAAGAGCACTGTCATGCACTTAAGCATCTGGATCTAAGGATAGTCCATAGAGGTGAAAGTGGAGGCCTGGTGAATTTATTCCAGCTCTGAGGCTGAAGAAAAACCCCCAACACAGCTTCCTAATCTTCTTACTCCTGTCTGAAGTGTACTGTGCAAATCTAGCCAGATGGACAGCTTTTAGCAGGCTGTAACACCAATGGCTGACCAGGAGGGAGACTCCAGGCTGTGGGATTAGAGCATAAATTATTGAAACACCTTGGAGGGTTTCTGGCATACCTCTGAAACGCAAAGAGGTATATACCCCTCTGGCATAGCCAGATCAGATTTTCCACCTGTCCTGAAAACAATCTTTATTATCGCAATGCACTAGGGTTTGAAAGACTGTCAGCTATAAAAGGAGATTTTTTTTACTTTCCCTTTCATTCATGTTGTACAAAGCTGCGATCAATGTTATTGTAGACAGGATCTAAACAGGCATTAGTATCGGTGTACCAATTAAAACTGCTCTCCCTTAGTGTGGAACTCTGGCTCTCTGTAGGCTTCAAGGCTCTCTTATTTATATGTGAGGCAATGAAAACTCTAGGTTATTTTAAGGGTTTATTGCATAAGTGCAGTCCATCTCTTCACCTGAAATTGATGGTTCAAGTTTTACTCTGCTGAAGACCAGGCTGCAAACTTGAAGCAACAGATTTCCCAGAAGCTCCATATTTGTGAAACACACTGCCCATGCCCATTAGAGACTTTGCAATTGTTTCAAACTTGCTTAAGGACCTACAGTATCTTTTAACTAGGGTTGATAAATTTATCTTATTTTTACTGGATCCATTTTCTTTGTTTTCTCATGTTCTGACCTTTCTGCATTGCATGTGTGCTATCCTACAAAGATTTGAGTTTCTTGAAAAGTACTCAAACAAAATCATATTATTGACATTTATGCACATAATGACATAACTACAACCTGTGATTTACTTTTACTAGAATAGCAATCGAGAGAAGGCCATTCGGCCTGTATTTCAAAGTTTGTGGTTTGTAGCTAATTATTTTGGGGATCCTCCAATCATTTCTTAAAATATCTGAGAGAATTAGCTCTCACAACATGACTGAATAATTTATTCCAGACACTCACTACCCTTTGTGTACAATAGTATCACTTTATTTTCCATCAATAGATGTCGAGTAAGTATACTCATTTACAGTTTTAAAGCAGGTGACTGTGACAACTAGTGCCTACTGAGCTGAAAACAGACGGAACCCTGTTTCACGCTGTCTTGTGTCTGAAGCAGAGCTCCAAGCCTTATAGTTTAAAAACCCTTTAAGAAAGAACTAAATTAGATTCTTGGATTAAAATGCTTCTAAACTGCTCTAAGGCAAGATCATCTGACTGGCCTCCAGTCTGTAAAATATTTGTTTACAGTAATAGGAAATGTGTTAATGTTGTCCAATCCCTTTAACAAGTACAGCAACACAACACTGACAGCTGATTAACTATTAAGAACTTTATAAGCCAGTGAAGAGGCTAAAATGCAACTTGATACAGTACTTAGTGTGACTCACCCACTCCTATAAAACCACTCCTGCAGTGCCCTGCAGGTTTTTTTTATTTCCCAAGGACAAGGGTCTGTTTGGTGATGGCCTGATATGGTAACATTTTTTTTTCTTTTTTCTTTTCGCCTTCTTATGTTTCTTATTGTGATGTTTCATCCCCAGTGGAAGGAATAGTCTTGCATGAAAACCTAATCACTGTGAACATCAACAAGGGCGATCTTTCTTTAGGGTTGTAATACACAATTTTAGCATACAGTTAGTCTTAATATCAAACCAGAAGGCACTTCTGTGTCTTGTTCAATGAGACAGGCAGCAGAAGAGCTTCTCCTGCTCCCAACAGATAATGTTGCAAAGTAGTTTCTTGAGGTGAAATTGGATAAAAATACAAGCATTGTTTTTCTGAAAATGATAAAAAACAAGAACAAAATTCTACTCAAGAGTAGATCAGGGATAGCCAACCTCTCCGATTCAGTAAGTATTATAAGAACTTCTGTAGGTCCAGCAAAAGGTTCGAATTTGAAAAACAGAAAACATTATGTCCCGGTGAAGTCTCAACACAAGCTCAATCAATACTACAGAAATCTGAGTATGGCAGAGCTGTGCAGCTGAGATAAGAGCTAATCAAGATTGTTGCTAATCTTGGGCTGGGCCTTTCTACCCCTTTACAGGGCTATTCAGTGCTTCGCTTATCTCTAGGAGTTTCATCCAAGTCATTTCCTCTGCCTCTGACAATACCACAGGCTCAAAGGTGGACGCTATCTACCCTCCCCCACTGTTACTGTGAGTACTGAGCCAAAATAGGAGTGTGGAATGATCCCTGGCTAGTCTTTGTCAAAAACACTCCACCAGCTGAATTAAAATTCCGGGAAAAAAAAACAAAAATGTCTTCCTTGTTGGTGTGAATTTGTGAGAAAAGACTGAATTGTTTCATTCCTAGAGACAAAATAACAGAATTACAAGAACAAAAGCTCAGAGAATCTTTCTGCCTCACAATACTCGATGAATATGTGATACACATCCTGCTTCCTGATGTACTCCACACTGCAGTTTACTTGTCCATATCTTTACTGTCTGTACTTGAACATAGTGACTCCTGTGCTGCATTAACGCACCACAACAGAAAGCCACGCTGTGACTTCTAAAACCTTTATGTGCACAGCAACATTTATATTCTAACAACTGTAAATCTTTTACGCAGCCTTGGATACAGACACTAACCTAGGACCCAGCATGAACAACAATAACTGGGAACAACCCAAAAGTTTTGGCGCATGAATTATTCCAAAGAACTGTTCAAATAAACTATCATAAGAACATTAGAAAGGTTACATAGGAATAGGGGTAATTTAATCCATTTTGCTAATTTGGTTGTGAGTGGCTTGGTTTAATGTTCAAGTATCCCTTTTTTAAAGGATCCCACACCTACTGTACCTGCACGCATGTCCTAGCAAAAGGTTCAAGACTCCCACAATCCTCTATGTAAAGAAATATCTTCTGGTGTGACTGCCCCCATGATAGATATAAAGACGTGTTAATTATATAGGCCATATATGACACGATCTAGCAGCAGAAACATTATATTAAATGTTTAAACATTATTATTTAATTAAAATTAAAAAAATAAAATGTTATACTGCTCTGCAGAATAAAAAAAAATAATGTCATGCATTTACACAATAATAAAAAGCAACACAGCAAATTTAATTATAATTGGTGTTTCATGTTCTCTGTTTAATGTTTAATGCAATTAGTCTTCACTCAATTCTAATTTAACAAAATTGAGTTATTCCCTATTGGTATGAAATGTTTTTTTTTTCATTATTGTCCATTAGTATCCAGAAGTATTTAAAACATCATAGATGTGATAATGGTGCAATGTACAGTACACATATCTGTTAACACAACACTGTTTGCAAAAATATGCAGCCTTATATGAATAAATCACTTAGTAATCAAAGACAACTAAATTAACTAATATTTATCAACTGATCACGGCATGATGACATCATTTCAGTTATGTCAGGCCAGATATGTCTGTGTAGACAACATCTTTAAGAAAAATTAAAAAGATATCTTGTGCCTTGTACAAAAACTATCAAGAGACTTAAGAAATGTACAGAAATCACATTCCTTACCTCTTGAAAGCACACATTGCCGGATCAAAATGCTGAACAAAGCCAAAAGATACAGTATTTTACTTTCAAAACTTTGACATGAAGTTTTGCAGGACTTTGAGATTTGGCTAGGAGATTACATGAGGCCTGATACCTCCCCCATCTCTTCCCCTCTTGCCTAACGAAAACATCCAATCTGAAGATGGTGCATCCTCCGAGATAAATTGAACTTGACCTGAAGTTATTAAGTGTGATGGGAGTTATTTGGTTCATGTTTTGCTCAGACAATACAAAAAACACTTCAAAAGAAGGAGCAGGAATGAAGGGGGGTTTGTCTGTATTGTACCAGACAGACAGCCCTATCTGAACCTTACTGGGCTTTTTACCCCCACACACACCTGTACGGCAGTCCTTTCAGGCTGATTAATGAGGTTTCTGGGGAAGCATTACTGAACTCCCAGCCTACTGGGTGTCACCTGGCCTGCACGCAGATGGAGGCTGGGGGAGTGCGCAGAGTTTGTGGGCCTGTGCAGGCATGACTCACTCACTCCCACCAAGTCCACATTCCACTACCCTAACTGAAAAGGGCCACAAATCGCCTTTTCTTTTCTTAAAAATAGCTCTCAAAGCCCCATGCAACTCAGGGAAAGGAAAGAAAAAATGCACTTCTGTCAAGTTTCAGAAATGGCTTGGCCAGGCTGTTCAAAGTGTTGGATCTTTTAAGAGGCATCTCCCTTAAGGTTCTGAGGTGTGTTAGCTACTAGCAACCAAGCAACCATGGTGTGCCAAAAGCTCTCCTTTAATTTCCAACCCTTCCTATGTTTTTATGCTCCCATGTTAGACAAAAACAGAAATTAAGAGCTGAAGGACTTCATTTAGGGCATGAACAACCCGCTAGGACAGCTGTGTTTTATCATAAAAAGGTGTTTTCCTACAGTTTTAGAGACGCAAGTCCCTGTGCTGTTTGTCATTAAAGAGCTGGCATTTGGAATGTAGTATGAACACAGAATTTTATTTTGCTTTTGCGATACTTTCTTCCATAAGTATATGCAATTACAATAAACGCTTCTCAATGATACAGCATCTGAGGTGCAGATTTACATGAAGCTCTTCGTGAGAAATTAAATAATCAATTACAAATCGATACCACGTTCATATGCTATTAGGGTGACATAGTACTAGACAATCACGTAGTCAATGATAGACGTAATTAAAGATGTGGTCCAAACAAGTACAAAAGTTGAATGACACTCTTTGTTTCAGCACCTCTTACATATAGCAAAGGTTCTCTCCTCTTGGGTTTTGTGCAAACTGACGGCATTTTTATTCTGAAACATTGTTCAAGATATGAAAGTCAGATGACTGTCGGTCAAGGCACCCCTAGGAATTGGTAAAGACTAACGATCTAGAACGCAGAGTACAATTTGGGTCACCGCATTATAGAAAAAGATATTGCTACTACAGAATCAGCCCAGAGAACAGCAGCTAGACACATTTTCTGCCTTTAAGGAATATGCTACAATATGCTAAGAGAACTGAATTGGCTCACCATGGCAGTACTATATTGGAACACATACGGTATTGTTACAAACAAAAGGAGACCATTTGAAGCAACACTGTATATTACTATTAGATTATTCATCTAATATTTTCATGGAATCGACTTAAGCAGAAGCTTGACTGAGAAGCTTGTTCAAGACACCTATAAACTTTAGTGTGAAAAACGCCTCTTGTTCTCATTCTTACAAACTCTAGAGCATTTGGATTCCAATTTCATTATTGAATATAAAGACATTTATTGAGGGGGCCACTTTGTCCATGCCATCCATGCTAGATTTTTTAGTATTTGTGTGAAGTCCCATCAAACATGCTCTGTTCAAAGATTGAAGAGATTCGGTTTCTTTAACCTGTTGCTTTTTAGAATCAGGATATTTCTAGCTACTATATTTCTACTTTCGTCAACAATGTACAGTAAATCCACACCTTATAGGTTCACTTCAATAACAGGGCACTTGAATAAAATTTAGTATGGAAAAGCATGTTGCAATAAATAAGCATGGCAAAGGAAACTACACAAGTAACTGCTGGTAAAACTACTAAATAAAGAGAAAACAACAGTTTTCGTTGGAAAATGCGTGTGAGGGAATCAGTGACTTGTTAACAAAGCAAACAGCCTGCAGAGCAATGTTATTTGCTTCAGTTACCTAAGAGCTCATATGAGAAACATTTCCACTTTCTTCTAAGAAATAAAAGTCAAACTTAGCAATGCAGAAACTATACACTGTCAAAACCCATTACAGAATCACCACAGCTGTTTCTCAGTAAAGAAAAAAAAACTGTGCGGAGAAAAGTGGCCCTAATCTTTTTAAGCTACAAGGAATCATATGGAAAGAAAAATATTTCTCTTTTCCTCATAAGGCATATTTCAAACACCTTCTTTTCCCCCAAAGTAAAGAAAACCCAAGTTATACTGTCACTGCCAATAGGTTTCGTGAACACATTACATGATTACATGAAGGAAACTGCTAATTCCTCAGATGGTGTTTGGTCAGTATAACGGGATTACAGGTACCTCCATACAGTAACAGTTCTGGACTGAATTCAGGATACTATGAGCTGTGGTCTGTGCAAGTCATTTAAGACACTTTCTTTTCGAATCAAAGAAAACAAACCCACAGCTTATAACCTGCTTGTAATAACTAATAGCTGTAATATTTAAGTTTAAGCTCACTTTTTTTTTTAGAAAATACTATCATAGACCATGGCTTCAACAGCAACTGGTGCAATTACCTGGTTTGACATTTCAGTTCAAGACTGGAGCATAGTGAGAATGTGCAATTCATGAAGAATGACATACAGCCAACCACAGGCTGTGCAGGGAACATTCTCTCACCTAAGCACTTCACTTTGACAAATTTTGACACCCAAGTGCTTAGGATTGACAAATAATGATACAGAAACTTCAAGGAATGGGGCTGCCAGTATTCCAGAACAAATTCTGGTTTTCTTTAAAAACAGACCAAACAACAATTCCAAACTTGATGGTTTTCCAGGCCTTGTAACTATTGGCTGTTATAATATATAGAGAGCTCTGGAGCTGGAATGTTGAAAGAGGATGAATAACAAAAATAAGAAAACAATTGTCCTAACATTGGAAAGTTCTTTTAATGAAGTGTAGCTCCACCTGGGATGACCAAACTGGCCATTCTGTGGCAGCAGCCCCACTACACAGCAGGTCAAATTGATAAGCAACTGCTTCATCAGCTGAAATAAAGTGGAAATGGAATGCACAGAACTTTTTTTTTTTGTTAAGCCTTTCCATCAAAATCATGACCCTTCCTGCTGTGCTCTGGAGATTCAATGCCTCCAGTGATAAAAAATAAATCACAAAAGGCCTTTATTTGGTCAACACTTTCATGTTTTGTATACAAAAGAAGATAATGGTGGTGAGACCACTGTGAATTAAAAAAAAAAAGATAAGATGCCGGATTGTTATAGTCAGTTTGTAGCCTAACAGCACTGTAAATCCATTCTTGCATCATGTCAGATGACAGGTAGGCAGTTTCAATTACTGCATCTTCAAAGGTTTTGAAAGCAGCACCAATATTCACAGTGGCTAACAATACATTTGCAACAAAATGTGGCAAAGCAGAGTGAAGTTTAGGCAGCCATTGCAAAATAAATGCATGGTACAAGTGCGCTTTTGTGCCTAAACATACTGGAGGTAAAGGGTTTTGGCAGCTGGAGTTAAATTCCATTTGCAAACCAGGAGAACAAAGGTTTGCAATTGATGGGTCATCATCTGTCCGGACACAACAAGAAGCTGCAGGGCAGAGAAAAACCTTGAAGAAGGGAATGAATGCCTGCAGTACATCACTAAGCACAAAAAGGAGTAGGCACAAACAAATCAGTATCTGGTTGCTTGTCCGTGTGCCCATGTAAGGATCTTACCCAGATGCCTGTCCTTGTCTGCGTCAGTCCCTGCTGATATTTAGGCCAAAAGATGAATTAAATATTTGAAAAAAGTAGACAATTTTGATACGAATAGTTGAGGGCTTAGTTGTTATTATTTAAAAGCAGATCACTTTAGCAAAACCCAGATAGCCCAAGTGTTTTTTCAGCCAACAGACTTTTTTTTTTGTTTAACCTGGAAGCAGGTGCGTGTATTTGTGTTAAATGAAGCTAGTGACCCGTGGTGATACAGATTAGCCGACGTTACAGATTCTTTTTTGTTTTGTGCCAGGGAAATGGGCCCTGGCTGCCGGCTGCACAACTTCCAAAACAATTAGACAGCAGGAGTTTCTCAAATCGGAGAGACAGGAAAAAGCTGCCTTTGGGTTTTTTTTAACAAACGTGCTGTGTACATACACCCCCTCCCCCTACCTTTCTCTCCGCCAGACGGACTGAGCCAACCCCTTCTCAGGGGAGAGAGAACAGGCATT